TAGGGAAGTGGTAAGGGCAAGAGACACCATATCGCCTGTAGACTTACTACCTGGTGACAGCTGCCAGGCTGTGGGGGAGCGAATCTTCCACAAGGACCTGCAGAAGAAGCGCAGAGACCTGAACTGGCAGGCCACTCCCCGTGCGGGCATGGAAAAACAGCGCAGAATAGAGAGGTCCATCGAACTGCCCAGGCCTGTGGCTGGCAGGCAGAAACAGTCGACCACCTCTTCTGGGGCTGCCCATATACCAGAGAAGTGTGGAAGAAAGTCTGTGTGCTCCTCCTGGTGGTGACAGGTTTAAAAAACCTGACCAGGGAAGCGGTTCTTTACAGGTACCTGACCAGACACCAAAGACAGCTCAATTCAACCAGTTCGTATCCTGCTTCAGATATGCCCTGTGGAAAGCCAGGAACCTGCTCATAAACAGACACTCAGACCCCACAGTTGAGGACTGTATTAAAATGGGACTAAGTGAAATGTATTGGTACTATAAAAAGACAGAAGAGGATGATGGGAAAGAAATAGCAGACCTCATCTGGTGGAGGGGTCTGGCATAGACTTTTTCAGGAGTAGACCTACTGAGGAGGGCAGTGGATGGGGGTACAGGTATGGAGATGGGTGCATGGGCATGCAGTTACATGGTGTGAACTATGTAACAGGTTTTTAGTGTGCTTTGAGCTGCCAAGTGAACCACAGGGGCCACTTGGCAGAATGCTGGAGGTGGAGTTATATATATATTTATTTATGTATATGTAGAAATAAATATTTTGGGGGGAAAAAATGGAATCCTCACTTGACTTTCTGTAAGGGTAAAGTGAGCAGCTGCTCCATAGGCTTGATAGACTTTGAAGCTCCCAGAGCCCCTGCCTGGGATGGCTGGAGAGTGCATGCAGCTCAGGCTGCTCATACTCTGCTGTCGCAGAGCTAATAGATGCCCATGGTGATAGTGGCAGTCTTATTGCCTTTTGTTACACCACTAATTTTACTGTGATGTGGCATACCAAAAGATGGCAACATCTATTTGCTCACAATTTGTTTAGCAGTTAGGGGACCAGGTTTTGGGTAATCTAGGACAGGTTCCTGATCCCTGTCTTGACTTGTTGGCCTGATTTTAAGAATCAGCAGCTCATACTCAATTGTGGGCAGGGTGCAACATCCCTAATATGACCAATCACAACACATCCCGTTGATAACTTAGGGATCTTTATTGATACACAGCAGCAGCACATGACAAATTAGCAAGCAAGCGACAACTCCCTTTATACACTGTGCCCCAGGGATGCACACAGGAAGACACGCATCTGGCCAGCATGCAGTTATCTTCTGTGGGTCTCTTGCTTCAGTTTATGGTCCTCTCTCCTGAAGGAAGCTACTGAGTAATGAACATACCCTCTCTGTTTCTCTCAAGTGTTATACCTTTAGTCCCTTCATTGTGTATCTACTTGGTACTCATTCATTGGTGGTCCAGTCTGACATATCCTGTCCAGACAATGAGGGTACTGTCAACATGCATTTCATGCACAAGGTGTCTGCTAAGCTGTGTGTAACAAAGCAGAGTCTTAGGGTCGCTGTGATCTCCCCTATGGCCTCCTTTACCGTGCCAAGTTGACCCAAAGGGCACCCTCAATTCTCTCCTGCCGTGTCTTTGATGAAAATATGTATATTAGGGAGACTGCCTTTCCGTCACCTTGGACACAGTTTGCTGTACGTTCAGAGCCCATGGACTCCTGGATCCCTGATGGGTCCTGCTTCAGAATAGATGTTATAACAGGTGTTTCAGGGCACCCTAGCCTTATGGGCTATGCATGGCTCCAGCCACCCCTTTACCACACCCCAAGCCTCACAGATGAAACTGATGTTCTTCGGTCTGGGCCCTGTTATAATTCGGCCCCCTGGTTTGCCTCAGGCTCTTCACTGCCCTGTCTCGCGTGGTGCCCTCACTGGCGCTCGGGGTCAGTGCACCCAGAATGCTGTGCCCTCCCTGGCACCAGGGTCCCCACACTGCTGTGGGTCCCCTAAGAGACCTCCTCCTTCCCCTAATAGCCTCACCCAAACCGCCAGTCTTAAACAATAAACCAAAAACACAATCCCCTGTGCTATAACATAAACTCTAGCCACCCAGCTATAACCTTATTCCAGCCACCCCTGGGGTGTTCCATCCTTTACCTGTCTTGGGGCTGTACCTGCAGTCAGGTTTCTCCCCTCTGCTGGCTCTGGGAGAGTTCCTTCCCCCTTGGCTGCTGGCAGGGAACTCCACCTCCTGGCCTCAGGCCTGGGATTTATATGAGAGCCAGGCCCTGCCCTTCCAGTCAGCTGACCAGGTGCACATGCGGCCACTTCCCTCATTAACCAGTTGAACCGGCAACCTGCACCTGGGTGTTTATCTCTGCTCTCACAGTAGCAGGCACCTTAGTGCCCTGCTACACTGTGATCATATAGTTGGAATCTTTCCATACCTAATTGGGACTTTTAGTAAACAGGACAGGTTAATTCCTGCAGCTGCACTCTTATTTTTTTAATGCATGGGCTGCTTCTCTTCTCAAAGCTCGTTAGACACTTTCTACTTCCCCCCCCCCCCCAAAAACAAAAAAAAAAAAAAAAAAAAACCTCTCTCTGGAATGTGTAAGAAGTGCCTTATTACAAAACTGCTTCCCTGCTAGGCTGTGAGAGCCGAATTTTGCTTTCTAGCACACTAGTTAGCTACACTTATATTGAATCGCTTGAATGATAAGCAATAAGTACTAAATAAGCCCAAAAAAAATTGTAATTTTAGCCATCAGACTTAGTGCTTAGATTTTGCCCTGTCAGGGTCAGGAACCAGGAACCCAATCTGCAGGGGAAATCCAAAGCCAGAGTCCAATGAAAAGCAAAAGCTGGGCTTAGGAGCCAGGAAAAACTGAGAGAACAGGAATCAAGTGTCCTGCCACAGCAAACTAGGTCAAAACTGTTGTCTGGCCTGGAAACCTACAGCCCCAGCTGGGACTAATCAGGATGCTCCCTGTTCCTAAACTGAGGCAGAGTTTGGTAGCTGGTGACTAACTGTAGGAGTAGCTGCTTAGGTACTTGACATAGGCTGGCTGGCCTGATCAGGTTCCCTGACAGCAGTCAGAGGCAGGAGGGAGTTGCAAAGGTGAGGCGAAGAGGTAAGTTACTGCTGTGACCCTTCTCTGGGTTATTCATTGTGGCAGATGATAGAGTCTGCAGGAGGCTGAAGTAGTGGCACAACCATGGTAAAAGTGGATAAGAGGGCTTGGTCTTCCCAAGTAGGGGCGCTGCCAGTGGCTGAAAGAAGTCCTGTCCTCTGACCCCAACCATTTGTTTCTGTATGTTGAGGGTAGAGGACAGTGGAGGCCAGCTATTGGCATGCTGTGAAGAAGCAGGGAGCAGTGGGAGGAAGGCAGTTACAGCCCTTCTCCCACCTGCCCCAGGGTCGGGAGCTGTGTGGGGTGGGAGGAACTAAGGGGAAGAGGCAATAAGAGGCTGGATGGCAGGCCGGTCACAGGCATCCAAGGGCAGTGGCAATGTGTAGGAGGTGCACGTGCACCCCCTGAGAGCACTGGTGTACCCCCTGACAGCCAGTGTTCCCTGCTTAGGTGGGCAGGTGGGAGCGCTGGTGCCACCCCTCCGAGAGCACCGGCTGGCGAATGGGGGCACCAGGAGAAACCCCGCTGGCACTTCTGGGCACCCTCCTGGCCCTTCTGAGTTGGCACAATTGGCCACGGGGGGACCCCCCCCCAGTTGCTGACTGGCTGCTGGGGCAGGGGCAAGTGCCCCCCCTGACTCAGGAGGCACGAGTTGCCCAAGGTCTTTCAGGGGAAGGGTGTGGAGTGAGGAGGGGCTGTGGCATTATGGGAGTGGGGAGGTGCAAGGGACAGATAATGTTTGGAGCTGAGGGGGTTGATGGGGTCTGTGGGGATGAAATGCGATGTGAGGGGGTTTGGGAGCAAGAGGGATTGTGGGTGAGGAGCACCCATGGGGTGCAAGAGACTTTAGTGAGGTCTGAATGTTCAGAGGAGCAGGGGAGAGCTCAGTGAGGTGTAAGGGGTGAGTGGGGCTGGGGTGTGATGGGCCTGAGTCCGTGCAGGGTGCAATGGATTCATGGGACATGAAGGTGGTGAGGCCTAGCAGTTTGGGGCACAATGGACTGGGGCTGAGCATGAGGCTGTGTGTGACAATGGGGAACGGAGTAGAGCCAGGAGGCATATGAGGTGGCAGGGGCAATGCGTGAAGGGCAGCAAGGGGGGCACTTCGGAGTTATGGTGGAGTGTCGGGGTGACTCATGTCGGAGCAGTTCTGTCCATGCTGGAGGGTTACAGCTGTACCCTCTAGCACAGGGGTGGGCAAAATACGGCCTGGGGGCCGGATGCAGCCCACCAGGCCATTCTATCTGGCCCGCGGGGCCCCTAAAAAATTTAGAAAATTAATATTTATCTGCCCTGGGCTGCCTGTCATGCAGCCCTCGATGGCTTGCCAAAACTAAGTAAGCAGCCCTCTACCCAAAATAATTGCCCACCCCTGCTCTAGCACTAGGTTCCTATCCCACACTGGAGCTGGTGGCCATCCCCTCACAGACACAGTTATATTGGTTTTAGCTTGGATCATAAACTGAATTCTATAATTCTAGGCCCCAGCTTACTAGAAAAGTTTCTTGGGTTTTTTGTTGTTTTTTTTAATTAGAGAAAAGTATGCATTGTGTTATGGAATGACACACGATACTGCCAGCACCTCCCTTTCAAAATCCAAGATCTGCCCACAGCTCTGGCACATACCATCTCCTGCACAGGAGTGTGCAAAAAAAACTGAATAAAGGACAATCAGTAAACAAAAATGCAGACCTACATGTTTATTCAGTAAATAATAATGCGTACTTACAAATCTTGAGCAGTTAGCAACTGGCTTTTCTCTGCACCCCAACAGCTTGTAACCTGGCTGGGGTCATCTGACCTCTGTCCTCTCTCCTGCCAGGGGCAGGGGGTCAGACAATATGATCCATTGTGGTCCCTTCCGACTCTACAATCTATGAATCTATGAATCTATATTTTTTCCTTTCCATTATGACTGTGAAGGTTGCTATTTCACTGAAAGCATGTCATGAATTGTACTTGTTACAACCTTGCAAAGCAGAAAGAAAATAGAAATGCCAAAATGTTTCACAAGCTGTATTAGTATTTTTCAGGGAGGTTCTTTGGTCTATAGCGGTTGGGGTCTCCTCCGCCTCTGCCCCATCTATTCGCTTCCTGATCAGCACGTCTGTCAGCTTCATCTCTGCCCCTCATATGCTTGTAAAAACCCCTGGCATCACTGAAAAAAGAAATAAAGGTTCTTTTGCACAAATACCAATAACTAAATAATTTCCTTTTCATTTCTTTACCTGTACAATCCCTACATGTTTATAGGATACTTTGAAATCACTCCTGTATCACACAAATCTAGGCTTGTTAGAACCATCTCGGAGCTGGCATGAAAGTAAAAGCCATTGCTGCACTTGCCTCTACTATGCTTTGTTCACTGCTCTGAAGATTGTGAAGTACTGGGATAAAAACATCAACTTCTTTCAACAGAGTAGTGTGAGCTGATTGGAGCATGTATCAGATATGTTGTGTCAACTCATGAAACATATGAATAAGGGCTCCTAAATTCAAGAATGGGCTCGGTCTTCACATACCCAGCTCAAATAGTAGTTAAAAATATCCACTCTTTAAACAGGGGAGTAACCATTTATGAATCAAGATGTATTTCACCCTGTTGGATTACACAGATGTCTCCCACCCCAATTCAGAACCCCAGGCACATCAGGTACCTTATAACTTTTGCTGCCCAAGCACCACCAGGTCCTCTCTGTGCAGCATCACGATTTCCCCGTGCATGGAAATATTTATCTGAATGTTTCCAGTTGGCCTCACGCATGTCCGTGTATGCTCTGGCCATATCCTTAGCACCTGGGTAGGGAAGAAAGAATTACAGAAACTGTAAACACAAGGGTGGGAGTTATTTTACCCCTCTCCGGTGGCCTTCAATCATCATTCTATCCTTCCTCTGTGGCTTCTAAGTTAAGGCTCCCTTCCCAAGCCTCCTTTCAGAAGCAGATGATTTTATAGCTGTTTTACCTCTTTTTCTAACTGTACCATCCACCAAGTGAAATCTTGAGGAGGAGATGAAAGGAGACTCCTTGACAAAGGGGAAGTCTCCATAAACCAAGCAGATGATGACAGTTATTGACACTGTTGTTGCTGTTGTTATTGTTATTCATCAGGTCTGTTGTGACTGAGCTTGGGAGACCAGTTCATGGACCAGGACCTTATTGTACCACATACTGTTCTTGAATCATTCTGGAAAGACTGATTAATAATAATAACAATCATGATAAAATAAAGAATTTTAAAGAGATGAGTTTACATTATTCTCATTTTATACTAGCAAAATTTAGCCAAAAAGAGGTTAAATGATTTTCAAAAAATCACATGGCAAATTGGGGGAGGAAATCCTGATTTATTAACACGCTATGTTCTGCTCCTTTCCAAAAAACCTCTCTTCAGAAGACACTCTTCTTGAAGAACATTTATTTGGAAAATAACTTACCTCCATAGGCATCCTTCATAAATTTCCCAGCCCTCTGAGCCCAGTTGTCACTGGTGACACATAGGACCAGGGATAACAAGAAGATGCAGGTGAAGAACTTCATGGTGCACTACTTTACGTATAAGAGAATAGTGGGTGAAAAAGTATGATTATCAACAATCTGGGCAAGTTTTTTGAAGACTCCAGCCATCATATTTATTCTACTTGTAATTGTGGAGCAGGTGCATGGATCAGCAGGGTCACACACAGTTCTGAAGACTTTGCAAAGTGATGATTTGTTGTTAGAAAATGAAACACCCTTTTTGATAAAACCAGTTCTCTTCAGAGCATCCTGCTGGGGAATGGGATGCATGGAAAATTTGTCTTATCTTTTGCTTAGTAGCTTTTGCACTAAAAAAAAACAAAGTCTGAGTTTATGTACCTTACTGAAAAAGGTAAAACAATGTTTATTTAAATCTTAAAATCAGATTTAAAATCTTAAAACTTACCACTGCAGCCTGTCAAGGTTTCTGAGAAATGGGTTCTCTCTCAGATACACTCAGACAGGGGTAGATTGTATTTATAAGAGTCCAGAAACCAATGTTTCCTCTGGGTGGAAAATTTCACTTACCAATTCCATTGCCCTACTCATAACAACAAATCATTGCCTAAAAGTTAAAGTGTTTTGTACTTACTGTCAGCATATGCAAATCAAGGTTTGTGCTGGTTATTTCCCAATTTATTTTGAAGCTGAGGTAAGTGTTAGTGTTCTAGGATTTTAACTGTATTATTTTTAATAACTTTGGCAGAATAACATGATGTACAAACCCTTATGAAACCAACAAAGGAGGAAGGGTTGGCTGAATTTTCCTATTTAACCTCAGCTAGAAGGCAACTCTTTCCTATGAACAGGCTAGTTCTTATCTGGTTAAATGGCATATAAAGACTGGTGCTGTACCCACAGCTTTGGCCTGCAAGCAGATGTTACATTTATAGCAGCATGAACTCCCTTGTAACTACAAAAGTCAAGGGGAGAGATGTGCATATCTTCAGTAGTGCTACACAAATGTTTAAAAGCAAAAATGTCAGAAGTGCTACACAAGTGTTCTTGGGTGAACCAGGAATTTCTTTGTAGTGCTACACTGTGTGGCATGTCATGTACCGTGTTCTCCGTCTCTCTGTGTAGCACCCTTGTCCTGAGCAGGGCTGTAGTGGAATCAGTGCTAGCCCACTGCTCCCAGGCTGGGCTGTCAGTGAATACAGGACTGGAACGAGGCTTGTTGGTGGGACCAGAGCTTGCAGTGCTGTTCACAACACGAAGTCCCAGTCCTGCACTCACTGACCAGCATATTGGGGGCTTGTTGCTCTGCTCCCTGCACCCCATGTAATCAGAGCTAAGAAGGCAACTGACCACTCCTCCAAGCCCTTCAGAACTGTACAATGAAATCCCTGACTTCCTTGGAGTCAGAAGAAGACTCCTATTGACATCAGTGGAGACAGAATGCTATTCATAAACCTTTGGGTAATTATATAGATACTACTATTTTAAGTTTAAAAATCTTACTTTTTGTTTTACATTGCAAAACAAAAATCCTCTAGACTACCATCTGGTTTATCCACAAGCTTCATGATGCTGAATCTGCAGAAAAGGAAAATTGTCCTGAAACAGTGAATTTTCAAAATTAGGAAATCCACCAGGCAGAGAAAAAACCTAGTTCTAATTGCTGGATTTTCCCGTTACAAATCTGGCCCTTCAACTCTGCCCAAGTCTGCAGGGAAATAAATGTGGTATTCTTGGGGAATTTGTTGCTGAGGCCTGTTCTATATAGGATAATCCCTAGATGCAACCAAATTTGCACTGCAATGACCTTTCCAGCCACTTCTGGACTAAGGAACTCCTCTGGAGTTTGAAGGCCTGGATCCTGCATGTAGATCTGTTCAGGAAGACCAGTCTGCTGGGGCTCTCCCTGTTGTAGTATACTCTAGGGATAAATTTGTTGTGGGGTTCACTAGCATGTGTGGATTATACCAGAGAGGTCAGTTTGATGAGCAAATTGCACTAAGCCTGGGATGAAATCCCAAGAGTAGGAGAAATCAGTGAAGAAACGTACATGTTAAAAGAAAAGGCAGATGGGGAGACTGACACCTCCATAGCCACCTAAGGTTATGAATCTAAATCTAACTCATGTCCCTGGCTATTAAAGCCTCACCCATGAAGTACAACCAGTTCTCCTCTCCCCAGAAAAATCTCTGGTTTCAAACAGGCTGTCAAGAAACACTGCTACAGTAGAAAGCAGATCATTCGTATCTGGGTGCGTCACAGCCTACTTAATTTGCAGCAGGAGCCCTAATGAAGTACAAGCCATGTAGCTGTTTATTGCAGCTTTAACTTCCAAGGGTACTGCAAAGAGAAGCAGACATTTGGAAGGAACAGCTGTAGCAATCAAATGCAGCATGCCAGTAGTCCTCTCCTTTTGCTTGCCATGGCTCTATATACATCTGTGACTGTCATTATTCTAATATTATAAAAGCCTTAATCTGTCTGTCTGTCTGTCTGTCTATCCATAATGCTTTATTCAGGCTATGATTGGCTGACCCCTGGAAGTGACAGCAAAGGAGTGGAGGGAACGGGCTTCGCCCCCACCCCCTGCTCCTTGGAGAGTGGCGGCACAGGGGGGAGAGGGGTCAGGATGCCGTGCGGGGACGAGGCCACCAGCACTGGTCTTGGCCCTCCCCTCCCCCCTTCTGTGGTCCCCACCTGCAGCGCCGCTGTGGGCTGATGCAGCAGAGGTCAGGGTGGGGCGGGCACACCATGACAGCGAAGGGGGAAGAGTGGACCTGGGCCGACATGGCAGTGGCGGGAGGGGAAGAGTGGGCCCAGGCCACTCTTCCACTCCTCCAGGAGGAGGAGGAGTGAGCCTGGGGTGGGGAAAGCTGGCCCGCCACAGCAGTGGGGGGGGGAGCAGTACAGCTGGCCATGCCCACCCCTTGCCCTGCTCCCAGTAGGCAGTGGCGATGAAGCAGACAGAGCAGAGGACAAGGCCAGCACTGCTGGCCTCATCCCCCGACCCCTGCTCCCTAGATGCAGTGGCAGCACAGGGTGCTGGGTGGCAGTGCTCTGTTCATGCCTCCCCTCCCCCCCGGTCATTCATGGGTCAAGGAGGCATGGAGATGTAGGGGAGGGGGGGCCCAGCCCTGAAACAGCAACAGGCAGGGTTGGGGGGGGCGCACTGGGCCCAGCCTGGGCCCACAATGGCAGTGGGGAGGAGGATACACCAGGCCCAGCACGGCCCAGCCCCAAAACAGCAGCGGGGGGGCTCTGGGCCCAGTCCCACAATAGCGGCAGGGTGGGTGGCAGGGAGTGGGCCTGTCCCCGAAAGTAAGGGGGGGAGGGAGGGCCAGATGCAGGCCTCT